TGATATTACTATCTAGTTAAACAGTGGTCCTGGCTACCGTTCACTGAAAGGGCTTCTTCCCAAAAAAAGAGGGGGGGAGGAGGCCATTCATTCATCAACAGGGAACTTTGCTCCGTGCGAAATACGTGGAGCTAGACCAATCTTATGAATATGATTTGGAGTGAACAGTAAGCGCTGACTACTCTCATTTGATTGGATATGTGACTGCTCTCCCATTCCTTGTACATATTTAAGACCCTCAATAGGCTTGTTGGGACCAGTTTCACTCAGGGAACTCCAAACATCACAAATCAGGAAGAGATGATTCAACCTAATTCAGTGCAACATGAGTGGTAAATGGTAAATAAGTCCTTCCTTTAAACATAAGCAGCTGGACATCCTCCCAGCTTTTGAACTGTGTGTCACCTTGATGTTTCTGGATTAACAAAGCCCCTGCAACAAATAGTTTGATAGGTGAAAGGAGATGCTTGCTACAGTTAAGGGTGTCCTCTACTCAAATCATGCTACATTGACATCAAATACTATCATTTCGTAATGCCAATAGACATATCTTCAACATTACACATATCCCATTAGATAAAGAATAAAGTGAAGAAGAATGTGCTATCCTCTCATGTCACAGAGAGCAAAAATGGGAAATGAGAATTACAAGGTACCCTATCAAGCCTAGTTAAAATATGAACAAAGACTCCAATTGCGACACCCATCATTCAATGCCATCGCGATCAAAAAAGGCGAAAGTCCATTGTCAAATTTTTCACCATCCCAGCACTCATGTTTAAGAATTTTTGCGCCTTAATCCACAAAACGTGTATGCTTTGCCCGTGGCGGTTCGTCCAAATCGTCGTATCACCGACTTGATCTTCTACCTCTAATTTCCACCATTTGCGGGACCTCGTACTCATCATGTCGAGAATTGAAGTCCCGGACCGGTCTATGCCTTGAATAACTGCTTCTTCTGGATGAACTACGTTCACGACGCGTGTAACATTCCGGACTGCGGTTTGGATTATCACGTTGAGCATCGCGGGCATAAGAATATGAAGAATATTTAGATTCCCCTGAAATATTAGTTAGAATACATTATAAATATGGAAATTATTGATAAACTCACTCCCAGGGATCCGCTCACGCTCCCCTGTTGAGTACGTCCGATTATCGTGCACATATTGAGTATTACAGGGAGGATGCTGAGAACAGCCCGGCTGCATGGGAGGAACATGATCCCGTCTCCGACATTCGTCATTTGCATTGGAACCTTTAATATGGCCTTGTGGCTCTACCCCGACACTGACGCTGGATTCGTAAGCCCTTCGATTGTCATAGTAATAAGTTCGTGGAGAGCTTTCCCGAGTAGTGGCATTGGTACCCTGGAAGATGGGTATCGCCGCACAATTACCAAAACAATGGGAATGGACATACTGATCGGGCTGGGATATGTTGCCACAAGAATGATATATAGGACCACCTGTCGGATAGCGCTGAACAGATGTACTATAAGTTGTGCATCAGCTAATATACACGTATTTGGGTTAGTGGAGAAGTAATTCCTACTCACAACTGGTCGTTCATATTAGCATATAGGGTCTGCGGTATCTGAGCATCGGAAGACCTCTGATACTGACAGCTTTGAGGAGGATGCAGTATAGTGTAACCTGGTGTATTGGCATTCCCAGCTACATACATGTTCCCCTGGGTAGTAGGTGGTTGATGCCTACGCACAACTCCACTGGTTCGATGATTTGAAAGATTCACGGTACACCGGTTCGGATCATAAACTCCAGATCCTGAAGGCTGAACCGTGTATAAGGGAGCTCTGTCACTCTCATTATCACTAGTATAGCATTTACCTTTCGTACTCTTCTTTGTAGCAAGACTTCTTCTCCCCTTGTGGGTGTTTTTGTGTTTGGAACTCTTCTTTTTTCTTATCGGGATATCGCTTTCGCTACTGCTATCACAACTGCTGTCTTCACTGGTGGCATAAAAGCTATCGCACTTCCTGCACCTCCTGCAAACGCTTGTGGAGCAGGTAGGCTGAGCTGAAGTCGTTGGGTGCGGAAGTTTTATGTAAGGCAAATATGGATATGCCGGAAGAATTACATACACTGTTTCATTTTTGTCAGATTTCGTAAGCTCCTCCACAGCCTGATAAGCGTACGGAGGAAAGGGCGCCACTTGGGTCATGTCATTCGGGAAAGGAGTCTGTGTGACAGGAAGCGGTTGTGGAAGCTTTTGCGGAAAGTGTTGCGGATACGGCTGTTGTTGGAGCTGCTCGTACGGGATGACTGGCACCTGCTGAGGTTCTGGGGAACTCGCAGCCCCAAATCTATTGTGGTCCGGTACGAGATATGGGAGGTAATTCAATGGAGAAGAATGTGGGTTAAATAGGGCATCTGCTAACAGAGCACCAGGAGTCTTGATTCTTTTTGATCGACGGATGAACGCAGGTTTCCCTGAGGGCAACCGTTGCAGGTATATACTCCCTGGTTCCATATGAGATAATGAGGAGATGCTAGATATGTGAAGAACCTAACAGTTAGGCGCATTTCAGTTCTTTCAGCATGCTCGCAGCCAAACGGAAGTTACAAGGCACAGACCTTGTCGTGATACTCCCACTTGAGTTCTCACTTGAATCTGCTTGAGAAGCCATAGTGGGCCACCTGGATTATCCCGAGGGTCTTCGGTGTAGCCGTATGAGGGCTTCGGCGGGCAACGAACGAATGAGTCTTGGGGTTTAGAGCAGAGGAAGATTGGAAATAAGAATATCGTATAGTAATGCGTCACCAACAGATGCCAACCGGCAGAGCTCCTGCCGAATAATACACAGACAATTGCAACTTCCACGGATTCTTCAGTGGGATAAACGCCACACGCGGAGAAAGAGTTGAACTGCGCTGGGAACTCCTGGAAAGATGTCTGCGCAACATACGTTGGAACCAGATGTAACCTTGGAACAGCAACGCCAGCAGAAGGGCTGAGGGGAGATAAAGCATTTTGAAGTGTAAATCCCCATGCCATTCATAGTTATAAGCACCTGGAGGACGAATGTGTCTATGCATTGAAGCTGGATGACACAAAGAGGCAACATAGGCACAAACTTGTAGCAGCCTGAAACGGGAAATTCTCCAACAGAATCATCAACAAAGAAGAAATGGGAGAAAAAGGGTGGGTTTCTATGGAATACAACAATAAACAGCAAAGAGATAAACCAGAACTGCTACAAAACATTCTCTTTCATCTCGTAGAGCTGAGGAATCCCTGAAGTTCTTCAGGGTTTTGTTGCTTTTGAAACCAAACAGCATTCATTGTTTTTGTCTGGAATGAAGACGGACGCCTGCATATCTCAGCCTCGAGAGGAAAGTAACCAGCACCCAGCACAAGCCCAAATCATTCTTTGGTCAGAACTTCTTTATAACATGAAATCGCTTAGCCAGGCAGGTCGGGCAGACAAAGGCCACTGTGACCTTCAAAAACTTGTCGATTGCTATGCTTGGCGTTGAAGGTGTTGGGTGTGGGGTTTTCATTCTTGGTTGTTTTGGAGGGATGACCAAGAACCAACCAACTTTATTAAAGATAGGACAAAATTAGCTGCCGAAGAGGAGAGAAAGTTGACTGGAAGAAATGCGAAACTGAAAATAAGAGAACACAAAAAGCATGAAAATGAAGATAATGAACTTTTGATGATGCACAGACCTGGTTTATTAAATTTCCTATCATGCCTGGAAGAATAAACAGAAAATGATATAGCTATATCAACTCGGATTTGCTGAATTTGCGGCATAAATAAAACTATTGTGGTTAACTATCACTAGTAAGGATTATCCGGATTGCTCGATCATTTGCCAGGCAAGCCTGTCTCCACACCCGTACCTAATCCCCAATCGCGTTCTGCAGGCTGCAGATATGATAATACTTAGAGGTTAGCTTCTTGCCAGCTTCTAGGCCAGACACCACACATTACATCTCAAACATTTCATCACCAAGCCACTCCTTTAGGAGCAATACCAGCACCGGCATTCCACCCAGGTGATGGATCCGGACTGGAATTATCAGCGTTGGATAAATTTCTACCATTGCTCTGAGCCATCTGTGATCCGACCCCTTCTCCAGGTTGTGTATTCGTACTCCGGCTCTTAAAATTGGCATTGTTCCATTCAGTCCGTTGGGAGGCACATGGCGGGCACTCAACGTGCGACCGTTGCTGACTTCCATTATTGAAATTTGCGGAGGTTCTGCCTGTATTAGGAGGACCGGACCAGCCTCCCATTCCTGAATCTGGTGGTTGGGGTCGCGAAAACGACCCTGATGATGACATTCGGAGAATATTATCGTTGTTCGTGCCGGAGTTCGCGAGGAGGTCCTGAAACAGTGGTTAGCTCTCATGATAGAAGGCATGTGTGGGGTTGGTAGAGAGTGTAATCGTGAAAGAACGAACCTGAGCACGAAGCAACTGATTTACAATTTCGGCTCTTGGTAGTGCCTCTAGCTTTCTTCTCTCCTCGTCGATATCGAAGACAACGCTCTCCCCAAATTTGTCCCGTATCACGTCTATGCAATTTGATCAGGGATCAGAAACTCGTATGCTACAGGCCCAATATAATCAAAGAAATTTAAAAAAAAAAAAAAAAAAAAAAAAAAAAAAAATCTTACCTGCAGTCCGATATTTGAAAATAAACACCGCATATGGCTTGTCCATGTCATCTTGGTATTCAGGGGCTCTTATCTTGTGTAAATATTTTGCATGTGGACCGAACTGAACCTGATGGGTGAGGGAATCCGCTTGTGCAACTGACTTGGGAACAGTGTATAATGGAGGTTCATCCCTCGCCAATGATGAAAGTAATGGAGACACAAAATTTGGTTGTTCCATGTTATAGGTCTGGTGGAAATTAGGAATCTGCTGCATAGGGGGATGTTGCCCTTGGACCGGTGAAGACCTGAACGGTTGTGCATTCGCGGTGCTGTCGTTCGTTTGAGGCCACTTTGAATCATTGTTGTCGCCCGTGTTGATATTCCAGTCTCCTGCTTGTGGATTGATTGTATTTGTGGCCTGATCTTCCGCGGTGTATGACCAGGGAGTAAATTCGCCGTCCCCGTCATTGGTAATAATGTGCCCACCAGATCGATCCTGTTGCTGGTTTCCTTTTGTATACCAGGAGCCATGATTATCATAATTTTCATTCACGCCACTGCAATTCTCGTCCATGTTCCATTCCTGGTTCGTTTCTTCGCCCTGATTGTTCGTTCCTGTTTCTTGTTGCTCATGGTTATCCTTTCTGGCAGATTTTCCCTTCTTCTGTCTAGATTTCTGTTTTCGGTTATTGTCTATGTTAGCACCAGCCTCTGCAAAATTGTGCTCACGCCAGCCCCAGCTTGAACTCTCAGGGACCCGTTTGCCTTCAGAAATCACGTAGTATCCGGTTTCATTTACCTTCGAGGGGGTTCCATTCCTATTATTGCGAGAAGGGCCATCTCTGAATATCTGAGGACTGAGATTTAACACGATTGGACGCACCATAAATCGATTATCACTCTGTGGCTCGGCATAGGAAATGTTGTTCATTAGGCTTTCTTCGCTCGTAGATGATGTGCTGTGTGTATGCCCTGTTTGGGAGACGGGTAAATGAGTATTATCTTTGCAATTGCGAAACGGTAAATCATGTTGAGGATTATTACAACCACCATGGCACTGAGAGTTATTTGTCCAAGATTGAGGGATATTTGGGCCATGTAAAATGGTTTCCCGAGTGTCGTGACTTGCATGGCAACATGTTGCAATTATTGGTTGTTGCTGGATATGCCAGGGATTTTGATGCCCCCCGTTATTACCAGGTATGTATTCATCAGGCTTTGGAAGGCGGTTGCCAAAAGAAAGATGGCAAGAAGGATAGCATTGCAGATACGATTGCTGATGCGGTTTTGGAGCATAACCCCTATCTTCAGAGGGTCCATCAAACAGACCCCCAAAGGTTCTACCAATTTCATCATTTCTCTCTTGCAACCTACCACAAAAATCATGTAGAAACGACTGGTCGCTTGAGATTGAATAATCACCTGGGTAATCTATTGTCAGAAATGTAATGAGAGGGACTAGTACGGAGCCATACCTTCACCTTCAGAACCAGGATCCATTGCAGATTCCGGAGTACATGCTCTATCGGATATATATCCTTTACTATTTGCCCATGGGTCCGCCGCACAGCGAACAACAACAATCTGGATAGTTCCCAAATTTTCAAACTGCTTTAAAATATAGGGATTGTTCGGTTTATATTCAACTATAACAACACCATCATATTAACAACATGCTGTCAATCTTGGAACAACCACACTCAGAAAGAGAGCGCACCGTTTATCATTTAACATACCAAGGTGGAAGTGTTCAAATCTCCAAGGTCTTCCAATCCAGCTACCGTCAGGAAGCCGTTCTTCCCTCTGTCGAACCCTGAAACTAACATCTCTAAACTTCCTACTCACCTCTGGTGACTTAGATGTGGGCAGCAGGTCATTTCTGTTGCGATTGCACTGGTAAACCCCATCCATGGAAACAAACATAGCTAGCCCTGGTGCAATGTAATCGTTTGATTTCAGATTGATTGAAAAGGGAGACGGTGAATCAGGAATTGCTATATAGCTTTCCACCCACCCGTCTCCATAAGTGGTGCCATATTCTTTGAATGGGACATTCGAACCTGCCCATTCAACCTGACAGGTGAGTTGCTTGAGTGTGGGCATTGTTAAACGACTTTTGTTGTAGGTGTAATCGAGTAACTGTTAGATAAACAGACTCTCCAGGTGGTAAGTTGATGTGTAAGTTGGTCCACCTGGGATACAATTGGTTTAGGTGAACATGAAAGAAATGGCCTTCGACAATTTGATTGCTGTAGATTCATCCCTATATTTTAAGTGATGGGGTTGCTGTGGCAGAATGGCCAACTTGAAATTCACTGACACATAGCTCCCCCTTCATTCTTACACTACCTCAAAGCATGTATTACGCGCTGTGTGTAGGTCTCGATTTAATAGTACTAGGGAACTTGACGCCTGGATTCCGACTGAGATATTTAACCAGTGACAAATGGCCAGAAAATGAGAAAAAGTCAAATGAATGAAGACATGTTCATAGTATTCATGAGGGAAGTTTCATATGTTGATGAGTAGAATTATTTTTATCATCCTTATCGATGATCTGACATATACCTCCGACAAGTGTACGTACAGCACCTCTACATACATCCACCTGAGCATATATATATCAGTGATATGTCAGAGGAAAAGGATTGGCCTCAGGATGAGGCCTCATAAGCGTCTGGGCACAATGAGGTAAATGAGGACTGAATTGTGGATGGAAAACTTTGATCATCCTCTCACCGGCGATTTTTCGTGGAAAGGCAGAAATCGTTATCGATAGTTATCTTATAAGAGACAGGCGTTTCTTCAGACAAGAAAAGAGAAAAAACAAAATTGAATGAGTCAACCGATCGGCTCACAAAGGAAAGTGACAACTCTTGAAAAATGAGATGCATGTCATGGTTTTCGGACGAGGAGCCCGAGCAGCATGGCTATTTTTTTAACTAGTTACGGCATGGTTGGATCGAACCTCTGTTATTCATACGGCTTCAAGATACCGACGTGCATATATCTTCTTCA